GCAGGTCACCCACATTAAAACTATACCTTTCTGATCTGAAACATTTAAGTGCGACGACAAAAGCAAAAACGGAAGAAATCAGTCAAATCTTTGCAGTACTTTTACACAGAACTTTCAATCTGCATCACCGTCTGAGAAACATTATGTTTAACCACAGTTTGCTGGGAAGAAAGGTCTTTAAAAGAAAAAAAATAGACAAAAAAAAGTTTTAAAACAAACTTTTACTTCCCGTAAAACTCCATAAGACTACATGAGCTGCCACTCTCTGCCTCTCCTATCTAAACTCTCACATTTCCCTGAATTAGCCTCAGCGGTTTGCATGCTTTTGTGCCCATCTGCGGCCGTGACCGTCAGCGAGCTGCTTTCCCGCCACTGAAACAAGAATAGAGGCCTCAAGTCGCCGTGGTCGCGCCAACATTCTCATGAATCAAAAGCAGTAATCCCATTAAAACAAACACAGTGGCACAGTAGCTGCTGGGTTTTATTTAAGCCAATTCTTAAGTGCTGAACTCTTAACATGCTGTAGCATGAACATAAAAACAACTGAAGACAAAAACCAGCTATGTCTGTGAAGCTAGTGGGATTATTCGTCCCCTGAGTTAAAGTCTCTGGCTGTGTTTTTACCAGTAAAACTGAAGCAGCTGTGCATCTCTGTAGCTCAGATTCACCGTCCAGATGAAAAGATTCAACCACTTTTTGCTAAACGGTGTCACAGCTGCCCCTCGGGCGACAGACGACCCATTATCTCATTCCCACAAACGCGCACGTGTGCAGACACGAGTGAGGCATCGGGCTGAGACGAGTCGGTGAGTGTTATGAGAAGGCGTGAACAAATGCTGACACACGTGTTGACGGGCGTGGTGACGTGTGGTCCGTGACATGGAGCTGGTTATCAGCAGGTGGTTTTAGGGCGAACAGACAGCCAGACGTAGAGAGAAATAGGTAACGAAGGTCAGTGGGGTTAATTACTCATCATTAAATGCTGTTTAATCCCAGATGACTGCATTAGAGCAGTAAGAGTGTTCAGTTGAACTGGTACTGGCATTATCCTGTTACGCAATAACATCAATGCAACATTCAGTTTGTGTTCAATGATTGTGCAACACCAGATGTACATTAGTATGTCTGAGTCCCTTACTGCCTTTGTGTGTTTACCTGTAATCTTGTTATTCTTATTCTTCCATTTTTTTAAGTGTATATGCTGCTGTAGCAAATCAATCCCCCCACTCTGAGATTAATAAAGTATATTCTATTCTATTAAAAACATCACATTTTACTTGGGATTACCCTCTTAATGCCTACATCTCTTTTTGAGAGCTCGGATCGAAACGGAGAGCCTCAGAATCATTCGTCTCAGGAACTCCGAGGCTTATCTGAATACTTTATGTAACACAATAAAAGTTAGAGTCCAGGAAATCCTCGAACTCGTGCTACCGAGTGAGAGTAAATGAATGAAACAGCAGAAAATGTGGGGGGAAATTATTTTCATCTAAAAAAATGTAAATTGTAATGAGAATATTGTTTGAAAGTAAAAAGCTACAATCCAAAACACCTAGCAATTCAAAGTGTCTGACCATTAGCTGAAGCAAGTTTCATACAAAAAATCTGATGTTTTAGAGAAAATTACTTTATAAAACCTAAGGCAGACCCTTTAAATTAGTCGTTTTGGCCTTTTTTTTAAAATAGTTTTATCTAACAAGAATTGTTTTGGGTTTTGTTTTCAGAAAGATCCACCAAAAATCTATTTACTAAGAAAAATGACAAATACAGGAACCAATATTTGACTTCTAACTCATGTTTAGAAGGAAAACTGGCTTTCAAACGGCACTAAAGACAGCTCCAACACTGTGTTTACATCATAAATAACTCACGCTACGACTAACTCACCCCCTATCTAAAGCAAATAATCATCGGTACAATAAAAATGTATTTTAGTTGTAATTTTTTCTCTGCTTCAGAGTTTGACCCAATAGAGCTTATCTGTTTGAGATAACACTCCATACAGAAAAGTTTGCTTGACTCCTGACCCAACTGTAAAGCTGCAACAGCAAATCTGAAAACAAGCTAGCTTTTAAACAAAAACACGGTCACGGATCTCTCACCCCTCCCGTCGGCTGTAGCCTAAGCCACGCCCATCTGCTTCCGGTAGACGGGTTCCCGTAAGAACAAAAGAATGTTTGCAGGTCAACGGGACTAAAAACGCTATTTTCTAACTCCACTTGTTTTGTGCCATGGATTTCACACATAATGTCCATGAATTTTACAGAAGCATTTTGATACCGAGAAAGTGCTTATTTTCTAACAGGGGGAACGACAGTTTAGGTTTTGTGTGAAAATAAGTCCAGGACTACAGATGCGCTTAACGAAAGTGACGTCATCGAACCAGACACGGAGAACACTGAGGGAAAAGGGCTGTAAGTTCAGCAAACTTCCCACAGGAGGAAAGAACCACCATAAATCTGGTCATGTGGTGAGTAGCAGCTACGCTAGGGGGGAGGAGCTTGTGAGGTGATGTCACATATGCGACGTGCCGATTTCTGGTGTGTAGTCATGCTAATTACGAACTTTTACAAGCTGATAAATCTCAAAGTACGTGACAGGCGTGGTCGAAACACCCATCATTACTTTTCATTTAAATTGCAGTACAGCTTATGTGTGATCCAGGGCGAACGGCAAAGCGTGTTAGAAAATAGCGTTTTTATCCCAGGACCCCATGAGCCAACCGGAAAGGGAAGAGACTTTGGCTCCCTATTGACTCTAGCCGCGCCTAAAGAAACAAATTTGTGCTAAACCCCAATCGTCATTTTCTAAGTCCAAACGTCTTTTGTTGTCCGTGACTGATTCTTCCAGCTCTTGGAGAGTACAGACGATTTTTTCCTCCCCCTCCTCCCTATCTTATCCTCAAGGCTTTTTGTCTGTCTTTCGGTGTACGGCTGCTTCTGCATTTTTTCTGGAAACTGGAAATTATTAAACATGGATCTGATAAGTTGGTCTCAACGCGATTGACAAAATTTTTCAACAATGAGAACGGGATAAGGAGCTCCCGGTTGCCCCTCTGGGACAGAGCCAGCTGGGCATATCATGGACTCCTGGAAACAGTGGAACCTGATCTGCCTCTCTCAACTGTCTGTAGAGGATTCTGAAGACGTCTGGATATTCGTGGTGTTGGTGTCAGGTTTCCTGCTCTTTGGCCTAGGAGGCTTCCTGGCTTACCAGAAAATTAACGAGCTGTCGAGGAATATTGGCGCTCTCCCAGAGCTCAGGGATGGATTACACCGCGCTGTGAATGCACGGACTCATATAATTGTCGAGATGAGTCGTAAGCTTGGAACTTTGGCTGAGATTCATGCTTTGGCACAAAAGATGGATGCCATCAAGGAGTGAGTGGACGAATCAGCACGGATTGGGATAGAATAATTTACGCCGTTATTGGGATTTTGAGAGTTTGAGGACCAACGGAACTCTAAGACAGAGAGGGAATTATCTCTGCCTGGCCCCAAAACAATTTCTAATCTGAATCTGGTGCCCTTGAGCCTGTGAGGCTGCAACAAATACTCCCCCTCAGAAGAAATGTGGAATGCTGCCGTTGCCATGACAACTCTGTCTCCTATCCCAGCCTGGGTGGGGCTGCGGGCTGTGAAGGCCGCCGAATCGTTCCAGGAGTCACTGTGCCCTCCAAACCCCAACGACCTCCCTCCCCTGTCCAGACTGAGGTGACGTGCGCTGCTTATCGCGGCTGCATGCACTGACGTGTGGAGAGTCCCCAACCCGCCACCCCACCTAGTGGACACTTATGATATGTAATGTCTGAAGTCTGTTGCATTTCCGTCTGAGGTGTTTTTTGCAGAGCAAAGCTGCCCTCCTGGTGGAGGGTAACTCTGAAGTGCCTTTTTTTTCCTCCACCTGAACCAATCCTCATGTAACCCTCTGATCTCTATTAAGGTAGCGCGACTCAGGGTTGCGAATGACCACAGTCACCAATTCTTGTCATGTGTCTATGCCTATGTATGTCTGATCTCTGAATTGTGTGTACTGAAACTCTAATTTCCCTCTGGGATTAATAAATTATCTTTGAATTGAATTTGAATTTGAATTCAAATGGTGTTTTTCTTTTTGGGACTCTGGTAGTTTGTCCTAAAGGTAAAGTGGTAGCAGCCGGCTGTTTCTCCATCTCTGTTATGATTGAGCCAAAAACCTCTCACAGCAGTGGTGATCTGTTGCTAAACACGCGAGTGCATACTGAGTGGACGACCCAGGGAAGTGTGAAAGTTTGGAAAGAAGAACAACCAAATACTTAAAGCTGTATGATGTTATAACGTTGTTAAGAGGCATGAAAAAAAATGTTTTATGCTAATCTGTTGTTCAGATTTGCCGTTACAGCTTTAAACCCCAGATGTCCGAGTCTGAAGATTCATACAGAGAAAAAAAAATTCACAATGAAACAAACATCCGAATCAAAAATTTACAACTAAAACCTCAAAACCTAACATCCTGCCGACTCGCTGCTTATTGCATCTGGCCGATTATGTTGGCCAAATACCCAAAATGCTAAATCTAATAAAACCGCACTAATGGACAAACAAATGCAGCAAACCCTAAAGACACTGAGGGAAGGACGGATGTGCTGATGATGGAGTGGACGAGAGAAAGAGGCTGATGAAGACCACAGAGACATTAGACAAGGGCACAGGGAAAGCCACGACAAACTGAAGAGGCCTATTTCAGCTGAGCTAATGGACTGAGGAAGCCCGCAATAAGAGATTTAGAAAACCAAGAAAGAAGGAAAAGCATAAGAAAGATGAAACCATCCAAAGGAAGTGGGCGAGTGGTCGTATAATGGTGTTAAAGTCAACAAATGACTGTTTGACTAGTATTAGCTTTCATGTTGGTGCATTAAAAATGCACTGTGGCTGTTCCTATCTGAACGCTTGTTGTTCTGAGTGAGCGGACATGATGGCCCATTTGAATGTCACGAGTCTGTTGCTCTTTATGCGTCCTACCTGATTAGGTGATACGCTCCAATAGAGAAAGAATCCATCTGCATCCACATTCAGCGTGATCTGTCTGTCTGGCACGTTCTGACTTGTATCCTGAAGAGAAGAAGACAGTTCAGGTTATAAGACCGGGACACTATAAAATCTCATCAGTTAAATTTACTTGGAAAAACCCAATGCACTTTAGTTAGTAGGTACAAGAGGACGTTTTTAAGTATTTGAGCCACTAATGCAAACAAAATGAAATATTCCAGGTAGTCGGGAATGCGTTTACTGACCTGAGTTGTATTTTCTGAAAGAGCAATTCACTCCGACATCATTTTTTTACTGATAAACTGTATGAATGAGTGTCTAATAGTGCTGTAGACATATGTAGACATTTGAACATCTTAGGTGTGTTCTTGCTGTGTCGTTCTATAAACCGAGAAGGAAGTGACGCGCCACCATCAGCTTCAGCCTGAAGAAGCCTGCAGCTGCCGGCGAAACGTAGCGACAAAACAGGTAAACAAAACTGTTTCTGTGTTTTAAAAAGAACGACATCATGGAATATGTAGACATTACTTGGGCATTTTTGTGCATTTGAATAAAGTACAAATATTTTACCTAAAACCACTGGAGTAGCGCGCTCTCCAGGGCAAAAGTCTGCTGTACATTTGAATTTGAATCAGCTACTGCTATTGGCTCAGAAGTGACTTGTGACCTCAGCTGGTATTTCTGACGTAGCTGCACTGCAGCCTAGTCTCGGCAACGCCTCCGGCTGGTTTGGCACATGGCGAGTCGATACGACTCACCCCTCATTTCCATATTCAAATGTCTCACCTCTGATTAACAGCAATGTGACTTTACTACTGGCTCCATTTGCACCGCAACTTTGATGTTTTACCTCCACAAATAGCACAAGTCTGAAGGAGTTCTGCTGTGTGGTTAGCTTCTGCAACCAGAAACGTTCTCTGCGCTTTCCTAGACACTAAACCAACAACAGCCTCCCCGTTGTGAGTAAAGATGGGTGTGGCCATGAACGTTAAGTGACTGTGACGTAGATCAGTGAGGTTTCTATTTTCTATCAGAAGCTAATGCAGGAGAAAGATGTAGGAGACTATTTTCATGTTCAGCCTGCATGAGAAACTCAGTGACAGAAAATACTCATAAATAATCATAAAAAATTGTTTTCTCTGTAATACCACTTTAGGGAACCACAAAACACAAAATGGTCACCAGAGTGAGAGAGGGCGAGAGAGAGAGAGAGAGAGAGAGAGAGAGAGAGAGAGAGAGAGAGAGTGTGTGTGTGTGTGTGCGTGCGTGTGTGTGAGTGTGAGAGAGAGAGAGAGAGAGAGAGAAAGTGTGTGTGTGTGTGTGTGTGTTTGTGTGTGTGTGTGTGTGTGTGTGTGTGTGTGTGTGTGTGTGTGTGTGTGTGTGTGTGTGTGTGTGTGTGTGTGTGTGAGAGAGAGTGTGTGTGAGTGAGAGAGAGTGAGAGAGAGAGAGAGAGAGAGAGAGAGAGAGATAGAGTGAGAGAGTGAGTGAGTGAGTGAGTGTGTGTGAGAGAGAGAGAGAGCGGGAGAGAGAGTTGTGTTGCATGTTGTGCAACAGCTGTTTTGATCCTGTACACACACACACACACACACACACACACACACACACACACACACACACACACACACACACACACACACACACACACACACACACACACACACCTGCTCACTGTAATTACAAGCCAGCAGACGAACACACTGTCCAGACGTTGTTGAAACCAAGGTTAATCCAGATTGGTATTAAAGGAAATGATGACTCAGCAACACCCGTCATTATGAGCATCAGTGTCAGCATGGCAAACTGCACATTTCTCATTAAACCTCCATCAAAGTACCTGTCACGTAACAAGTTTAGCAAAAATGTAAAAACACAAACTGAAAGGTAGAAAACTAAACATGAGAGGTCCAAGTCTTGTTTCACTTTGTCATGTTTACCCACCATTTGGCAAAGCTTCTCTTACGATGCCCTTTGCTACAAACGTACCTTCGGTTTAGGCTCCGGTTTCAGGCTAAGGACAAATGGGAAATGTTTGGACAGGCGGGAGCATGCGGCAGTGGATGGCCCAGGCTCGGGTGGAACCTAGTTCCTCCTGGACTGGCAGGAACACTTCCTTTCTATCACGGGGGAGGGGGTGTCCAGGAGGGGAGAACCGAACTTGGTCCAACAGGTCGAACTGGGTGTCTTATGTCTTTCATAGTCTGGAAGTTGACCAAATGTAGGGATGCGAGTAGGGATGGGTACTGTAATTGGTACTTTAAGGCACCGACCGAATTCTGTGGTACTGACCAAGGACCTGGCTTGCTGGAGGGCCTTCGGTAGGGTTGGGAATCAAACACCAGTTCTTGAGAACCGACTCCCGTTGTTTCAATTCCTAGGAATTGTTTAGCACTTTTGCAAACGATTCCCCTTACCAATTCCAGTGGACGCGAATGACGTCGCCACACACGTTGTGTAGCTTACGGAAGCAGGACAAAAGCTCTCAAGTTTGGTTATATTTACAAGAAAGGTAACTTGCAATAATTGCATAGTCAATATTTCATCAAGGGAAGGAAAAAGCCTTAGGGCACAAAATACGCGATAACGTAGAGTTAATGACGTGTTTTGACCCGCTACGGACTAGTGAATTTCAACGCAGCAGCAGGACGTTGCTACGTCCTCTCCTGTTAAGGCTGCAGGTGACTAATCAACTAACACTTCCTATCATGTTAGTGTTATTAGACTTTTATACACCTCCGTCATTAGTCTTTTATACACCTCCACACTATTAGACACCAGTGACCTGTGAGGTTTGTCCCACTCTGCAAAAGCTAAAGCAACAATACACCAAATAAAGGAGAACCTTTGGAAAGACCTTTTCAACCGATTCAGGTACAGCTGATTATTTATCACGACTAAACCGACAGTTATAATGCAGGAGGCCCTGTGCTATAAGTGTTTTGCCAACTATTGAACTACTCTGGAATTGATAAGGAATTGGATCGATAGACTGAACTGACAATGCCATTGATATTAACAAAAACGTATCAATCCCCACCCCTACCCCCCAGCCATTCCTCCTAATCCGCAGACATTTTCCTCCACTTGTTCCTTCACATCACCACTCAAACATGCACATAGGGCCTTGGGGTGTGAGTAAGTCAGGGGGTGCAGATATGGCTCCCATTTCCTTAGTCCCGTCGCCGCTTGCACCTCAATTTTATTTTGCACATTAAACACCTTCACCAACGACATTCCACGCAAATGCACACTTAGGGTGAGAGCAAGTGTGTGACTGTGTTTGTGTCTGACTGTATCTGCCAGGTGGGGTCTTGGACTCCACTCCTCTCCTCAAACATCTTGTGGTGCAACAACATCTTCACCTACCCTCCTCCTGCTAAACATTTCTGCCGGTGGGTGGTGCCTCGGTCTGCCGGTTTATTCGCAGCTCCCGAGTCGGGGGCTGGAAGTTTTTGGCATCCGTATAGTCGCTCCCGGTGGCTTCCTGGTGGGGTCGTGATTCCTGGGCTCTATCAGGTCCTCGTCGGGGTAGTGTGCCCTTGGGTTCCGGGCTGCTGGGTTCTGAGCCTGGCCTGCAGCTGTGGGTGGGCCTGGGGGCTTGTCGTTGTTTTCACCCAGGGTACTGGCGCGGCTGCTAGTTGCACCCCCCGGGGTAATCCACTGCACCTCTCGGGGTTGGGGCTTCTCTGGCAGCAATCTCCATGCTCCGGGAAGACCTCTGGATCTCTTAGGCTTGGAACCCCTCCAGTTTCTGCAGGTCCTTGGGTGACAGTTCTGTGACCCCTCGCACTCACTATTGGACACTCCTATAGAGAAACCTTACAGACACAAGCATGTATGCACACAGGTGCTCACGTGGTGCTCTCACAAGTATGGGCTTGGGCATTTTAAAAACATGAACTAAGGCTGTGGTCGGCACTAAATGCACTATGAATTTTCACCAGGTGCTTTTCAGTAGAAATTGTTACTTTTATATATCCTCATGTTGTGATATTTTATTTTTGTTGTATTTTTGTGTATCCCCTCTTCTCTCTCTCTTTCCGCAGGTCTGGAAGCAGATTCTTGTTCATCATTTATTGTTTTTTAACACCCCCACCCCCAGCTCTTCCTTTCTCTTACACTTCTGTCTCCGTGTATCAGGCGTGGCATTAGCAGAAGCTACAACGCTCCACCTATGAGAATAAAACTGCAAGGCTTGTCTTCAGCATTCAGACGTCTATTCTGGTTGCTTCGTAGCTGGACAAAAAAGAATTACCAAAAAATTTTTAAAAAAAGAAAGAAAATTTTTAGACATAGATGGAGAATGAGAGGGAGGCAACAGCAACAGTTAAAAAGGATGAACCAAAATGTCAGAAGAACATAAACTAAATCTGAAATCACTTTTGAAACAAGAGGTCAAACGTTTTTTTATTTCACACACAAAAGTTTTTTTAATCCCTCTGTGACTAGACAGACAGATTATTGCACACGTTCTGTAAAACTTATAAACTTTGTTTCACTTCTCAAATATCAATGTGTGTGTTTCCTAATTGAAATCTTTAACTGAATTTTTTTATCGTGACAACCAAAGATTTACGCAGGAAAATCATGAAGATCAACAAGGCTGCCTAAACCTCCGCATCTCGCTGTAGCTGATTAGGAGCTACGAACCAGCAGGGGACTCCTCTAAACCCACTGGGTGTAACTTGAGCGCAACTCTGATGTGAAGTCTCTATAAATTACTGAACTTGTGACCCGGGTTTACTCTCCGGGACACACGGAGAGCCGCAGGGCCCCGGCTGTATGCTGCGATTACCACCTTAAGACTGTGACCTCATGTCAGAAGCTCCTTGCCACAAAAGTCACGGTTGCAGCAAACCAGAGCATCACGCTCGTTTCTCTCTCGCAAGCCAAGCTGGATTTGAACACAAGTTAAACTTAAAGTGGTCAACATAACCCAGTGGCATAATCACCGGCAGACACAGCTGTGCTGTTTCGTTGAATTCACATGCAGCTAATCAAAATGCTTTGCTTGGGCAATGACCGACCGCAAATTGGACTGTTACAACAAAAATGCGTCTTTAATC